AAAATAATTTATAACAATTCAATCATCAAATGAAATGAATGAATGGCTAGTGTTTACAAATTACACGCTATTTGTAAGTAAATATTGAATCAGACATTCATTTAATTAAAACATAATTACATTTAATAAAAACAGTATTTGTATACATAATGTGCGAGAATTGGGTGCAAGTCTCGGGTCAGAGCGGCGACGGGTATAGCAAACAGGACTTTATGGACGACCTGTTGAACCCATTCATGCCGTACTCGCAGACACTGTTGTGGGCGTTGGAGAGCACCGGACATCACCGCAAAGACACCAAAAGTGAATGCAAAGACCAGACGTGTCGCGACTGTTTGACCACGTGCAATTTTCTTAAATACAGCGACCTGGCTAATAAACACATGTTGACCCAGTTCCTATACCTGACCCTATGCGCCGAGGGCTGTAAGGGCTCAGTGCCATGTTTTACCACCAATTCGTGCCTACCGGTGGTCAGGACTGATGCGAACGCTTTTGTTAATTGTATTAACGACAAGTGTCCGCTTCAAGAGACCATTCCTCTGGCGTTTGTTGAATGATAATTACTATTAGATTGTGATTTGTTTTTGTTGTTGTTAATAAAGTCTCACAACTTATTTATCACACATTTTTTTATTTGATTTTTATTTTACTAAAATGTTGTAGAAATTTAAAACAATCTAGTGTTTGCATAATTTAAATAAATCTACATATGGGCGATTTAAAACAAATCATAAATTATTAATTGCATTAACAATTATCTCCAGTCTTGAAAATTTTGGGAACCAACTGTAGTGAATAAATAGCATTATTATTAAAATGACATTAATGATATAATAATGTGTAATAATTAACCTGGAATAAATTACACATGTTGGAGCACTGGATAAAAAAGTCCGGATTCTCTTGCATCACGGGCAAACAGTAAGATTCCTTCAAACACGATCTACACAAGCAAATATCGGATTAAATCAAAAACATGGTTGAAAATATAATTACATCGTTCATACATATCTTCCTTACAGCCGACGGCGCAGAGCCTGAGATACGTGTATTGACTCAACAAATTTGAGCCCAACTTTGAGCTCTTGAGGAACCGACACGAGTCCAGACATTCATTACACCGTCTGTCAGCGCAGCCACGAACTCGCTTATGAATGCCCTGGGCTTTGGGCACCTTCTGGTCGGCCTCATGGATGGACAGCTTCGGGTTCAATAGGTCGTCGAGAAGAGCCAGGTCCTTTTTGGTGGGTTTTTTAGGTGTTATTTTTGGCAATTTCTTCTTTGCACCCGGTTTTTGAGGGGACTTGAGGGCCCGGAATGACGGGTATAACTGTTGAAACGGATCCAATGAATATGAATGACTGTAGGGCTCGTGTGGATGGTGTGACTCGTCGGAGGGCTCCGATTGGTCGTAGGGCTGGTCCGAAGTGTCGTAGTCTTGTGGCCAAACTTTTCCCGTATTTATGCTTATTATTAATAAAACTATGAATTTGTGGATATATTTTTAATTTATATCAATAATATTTTTTGCTAATTATTATTTTAAATTACCTGTAATTTGAAATAATTGTGTATTTAATGTCATCGTACAATTATTTAGTTTATTAAATGATATTTAAATTAATGTACAAATGTTATTTGTATACTTTGTATACATGAAACTTAATTTATATTTTCCATTCCGACATTTTTATTATTATTTATTTTAAGTATTAATTAATGAATTTTCTACTTTAGAAATTAAGTTTTAAATATTATATGGTTTATATGAACTTATAAACATGTTTATTAATAATTATTTCTATAACAATGTCAATATCAAATAAACAGCAACATTTTTAGCAAAACAGTTGTTCAAATAGAAAAATTAATGTGCTGGACAATCAACAGTCTTGAATATTTGCGGTATTATCTAGTTAAGAAATTAAATTAAATTAATAAATATTTTAGTCAATTAAATAAATACCTGGAAGAGATTGCATTTATTGGCGCAAGTGATGAAAAAATCGGGATTTTCCTTCATTACAGGCAAACACTCAGATTTTTGCAAACATGGCCTTAAAATAATAACCAATTAAATACATAAAAAATAATCAAGATCAATTCACAAGAATCACAAAATCTACAAATTTTGTACCAATACTTACAGATTGTCTTTACAACCCTCGGAGCAAAGTCTCAAATACGTGTATTGTGTGATATCGAGGTCTGAATACTTGGATGTCTTGAGAAATTTACACGAATCGAGACACTCGTTACACCTGACTGTTGTACAAACACCACCCGATCGGGTGCTCACTTTATGCCTTGAGGCCACCGGTGCCGGCAGTCGGGCGTTCACCTGTTTGACCGACAGTTTTGGGTTCAGGAGATCGGCGTATAGCTTATTAATGCCAGGAGTTTTGAAGTTCATCACAAGTTGTCTGTAGTGTCCAGTGTCTTCATTGTGCCCGTTGTGTCCATTGTGTCCGTACGGGTTATCATATCTATAGTTATGTCTGTCGTAATCACTGTATTCTGGGTACTCTTCTTCATAACTACTTGTGCTGACAATTAATACTAAATTAATTAATTGAATATAATATTGATATGGGATTTAAATATACAATTGAAATGTAATACAAAATATGTTATTTACCAGTTATGTAAAGCATTTGCATATTGAGCCATAAATAAATAATTTTCATTTTGAAAACTATTTGCTGATTTTGGTAAATATTGAGCAAAACATAAATGTGTTTTTAGTTTATTACTAGTCAACCATAATGTAGAATATTATTGTGTAATCAAATATTTCATTTATATTTTAAGCATTTATTTGGTTATATTGCATAAAATCATAATTATTAAATTTAAATAGTAAAATATATGTAAACTAAAACCATTTAATAGAATAATAAGCATGATAATTTTAACATAATTTATTAGATTTATTAAATTACACGAGATAAACATAAATGTGCATGGATTATTTACCAAACCAACTTGGTTTCCACCAAGAATTGGTTGGTTTTGGGGTACTTTTGCTGCGATTAATTCTCATAAGGATATCAGATGATGACAAAGTTGGATCCAAAGTGTCCCGCATTATATCCTCATTACTATATCCTATCTCTTCATCAGTTGGTTTGGGAACAGATGAGCCCATGTTTACCACTGGCTGATGGTAATAGTGATAATCGGGATAATGATGACCAGAATGATGATGGTATGGATGATGGGACGGGTGGTAATCGTAATGATAGTGTGAAGGGTGGTCACAATAATCAATCATCATGTTTCTGACGGCATGATCGTCATCGGGAAAAGCATTATAATCAAAACGTGACACCACTTTCGCTGATATTGTTTCTCCAATGGATAAGCAGATAAACACAGCTTCAGATTATCAAAATATTTTGTGTATTAATCAAAATTTACTATAATCAATGTTTTAAACTATTTACCTGTTATTGAACAAACGAATAGTGTATTCATTATATTGAAATGTATATACAGTACAGTAAATATAAATCTCTGTGTGTATGAAATGGAGTGTTTGTTTCTTAAGTATTATTATTATTATTTAATTAAGTTTTTATTAATTAATTCATAAAAATTTTGTTTAATTTTTTTAACGTTTGTTAGTTTATTATTTGAATTATATGTAAAATTTGATTAAAAATAGTTATAAATTCAATGAAATGTCAAAATAATTTATTAAATAAATGAAATACTGGTAACAATTCAAACAAATGTCTTTGTAATCACACATTGCTATCAATCACTGAATTAATGATTAATAATAACAACAATAATAAGAAAATATATGCCATTAAATACTGAATCTCATGAAATACTTATAGAAAAACTACTGATACATGAAAAGGGGAGAGAAAAACATCAAATATCAACGAATCCAACGGGAAGTGATGACAAACCTCTTCGTACGGACAGACATACGGCGACTCCTAGTCTCGGTTCAGGTGATGCTCAAGTGATGCGCTTTTTTACTCCATTCATAAAACAAATCACTTTCTCGGGAAAAGTCTTCTTACGGTTGAGGACGAGGGGTTCAAACGTGACATAATTATATCGGGCAAACACCTCCTCAAGTGTCTTGACGGGTGTCTCGCGGGGCACCCAAAGCCTCTCGTCGACACATTTGCCCCAAATGTAGGCCCGTTTGTTAGCCCCGCGAGCGGCCGACGTGTTGCTGAACAGAGAGCACGCGATGTCCGTAAACTTGGCGCCGGGCGGACCGATACGGGTCGGCGCGAACTGATCCTGTTTGCTATCGTTACCGATTTGCCCGAAATAGTTGCACCCGAATGAGTACATGTGTCCGCCCGATGTCAGTAGTAGGCAATGATTTTGACCGCAACTGATTTTGGTAACCATCAGGTCTTCGCTCGTCACTCGCACTTTGGCCGGAATGTTGCGGAACCGATCGGTGCACGCGATGCCCAATTGGCCGAACGCGTTGTGACCCCAGGCATACACCTGACCGCTCTTTGTGAGCACAACCGACTGGTGGTGTCCGCAAGCGATGGCCACAACCACTTCCCGGTTGATGGCCCGCACTTGCAATGGTATCAATTGATTGCAATTGTTTCCGTTCCCCAATTGGCCCCAGAAGTTGAAGCCTTTGTTTTGTTTATAAAAAAGTAAATATTATGTATTAAAAGATTAATTTATAATTAAATATTGGCTTAAAATGTGTTAAAATATTTTATGGATTAGTGGTTAGCGTATGAGCTGTGATACCCCAGGCGTAGACGAGACCAGTCCTCGTGAGTGCCAGCGAATGAAAGGCACCGCAACTGATATCGTCGATGAAGTGTCGCATCAGTTCGGCGATGAGTATGACTTTGGGTACATAACAGTCAATCGTTGTCCGGTTGGCCAGTTGTCCGAACTCGTTGTACCCATAGCTGAACAGTTGACCGGTTTTGGTCAGCACCAGAACGTGTCGGTAGCCGAACGCGAATCGGACCACTTGTTTGTGACACAACTCCCTGACCAGAGTTGGCTCGGCTACGGGTCGGTTGTGGCCGACGCCCAAACACCCGTTCCTGTTCTCCCCAAAAGTGTACACCTCGTCCTCTTTGGTCACTATCACTACATCGGTTCCGTAGCGGCCGAAGACACTCACAGTTTTGACGCGTTTGATAAACTCTGGCCTCAATTGACGCAAGAGTTTGTAATTAACGACAACACTGTTTGACATCTTTTTGTCGCACTTTTTGACACAAACTTCGTATATCTTCATGTGTTGTCGTTGCGTGGGATCAGATCCACAATACAAACACCGGATATAATCTGAAATTAATACTATATCTGAAGGTCGGTGGATGTGTTCACACAATCATTAACACATATGCCATCGACTCGTGTCTTGTGATTAAATTTTAGAACAATTTTTAAAACAATTTTTAAAACAATTTTATTGTTTTTTGTTTCGTTTGGTTTAATCGGAAATTTGTTGAATGAATTGATGTCTTGTTTTCAATTCAAAAATCAATAGTTTTTTAAAAATAGGAAAAAATAGAGATAGAGTTTGCACTGAAGTTGAGATCAAAAAAGTCAAACAAAATCTGACATTAAATGATAGGAATGAGACAGCGAAGAGAGAGAGAGAGAGAGAGAGAGAGCGTTAGAGAGAGAGAGAGACCAAAGAGTTGCTTATGTTTTAAAATATTTTTATCGCTAAAATTCTTGTCTTAATGTTTGCAATGAATTTTTTTCAAATGCTTGACACAAACACAACAGACAAACGCATACACAAGACATTTGAATACATAATCTTAAGCCAAGATTCTTGTCATTAAAACAGCCAAATGTTAAGATTATTATGACGTTTAGGATTCAGATTAAAGCCTATTTATAACTTACATAAAAGTCTCATTACTAGTGATGAATGAATAGCTCTCTCTCTCTCTCTCTCTTCTAGTGTTCACACCATTTGAGACACGATTGTAATCATTTGGCAATAAATCAAAACCTATATATTAAACAAAACACAATTTATTTTAGTCCAAAAACATTGAAAATACCGATTGTGTTGTGTTATTGAAATTCTGGCCTCAATTCTGGTACGGATTATACCATAAAATTGACGATAAAATCAATCGTTTGTTTGATTTTTCGCATGAATTCCTTGAATACCAATTAAAAGCTCAAAGAATTCATAAGAAATTTATATTTTCTTTTATAATTAGTGTCAAAATTGACAGAAAAAATGAGAAATAAATAGCATTTCACTCACTATTTGGCGTCAAAATCACATTTATATTTAATGGCATATAAATAGTGATTGAAAATTATTTAGTCATCATTTTTGAAGCATTTAATAAAATCAAACCATTTATTAGTTTAAAAGTTGTATTTTTAATAAAACCTAATTTTTATGCACATAATTAACAATAGGCTATAAATAGTAACAAAAACATACAGTAATTTGCAATTAATTACGGTATAAAACAATAGAAATTGTTATTACAAACAAAGTTTATGAGATCTCAAGACATGTATATCACTGACAATGAAGTGGTGGTTAAAACATCACTTCCACTCGCATTCCTCGGATTCATTAAAGTCATCAATTGTGGGCGGAATCAAAGAGATGGGTATTTGTCTCGCGTCTAACGCATTGAAAACAGCCTTTAAATCGGCAAAAGTGTCGCTCGTATTGATGGCCGACAACCGATGGCCACCACTATCTCCTACATTGTCTTCGGCACCACTGGTGGCGGTATTGAACCGCTTCCGGAGCCATACGTCTAAATGAGTGGTGGCGTCAAAGCCCTGTTCGCCACCGATTGGCCACACATTTGGTTGCGATTGTCTGCCACTGACAGCGGCGGCCATGTCTTCAGCGATGGCCCGGTGTCTGAGCTCTTGGAGCCGATCCCACGTCAGATGCGAATGAATACAATTGTCGCCAAACTTACAGAAGCCGTGTCTGTAGTAATGATTGCAAACACTTTTGTTCAGCTCATCGGCCAACAGATCCCGACTGGTCTTCACCGCCGAGTGATAGGCTTTGACCGCATTCTTGTGTTCAGTACTCTTGAGATGTTTTTTCCGATTTTGTGGTAAGTCTTTGAATCGACGCAAACAGTAATCGCATTCATATTGACGTCCCATTTGTGAGATCATCACCGAATCGGATCCAACGGGTCATTCAGGTCTTCAGGTGTTATCAAAATATTAATAATTAACTAATCCTTGAATTTATTAAATAATAAATGAATTAATTTTCAGATAATTGTATGAAATGTTTGTTTGTATTCATTGTTCACAACAAAAGTTATGCAATCTTTTCATTCAATCACTCAATAGTTTTCAATACAAACGGCGCTCTCTTTTGGACACTATTCTCAACACTAATTATAACTCAAAATACTTTTAATAAGTTTTTAATTAAAACTTTTAATTAATAATAATATTAATAATTGCAAAATATTTTTATTAATTCAATTAAAACAATTTTTTATTATAGAAATTGACAAAAAATAAATAATAAATGTTAAATAATATGACAAAATCTTTTACATGAGTTTGAGTTCAGTATAATTTATAATTTATATACTGTATAAATGATAATTATATAACATTTGACACTTAATTAACAGATATTGTCGTTAATCAACTAATAATGATATAATTAAAATAAATTTCAATTACGGTAATAACAAAATTCTTTAAACACTTTTATGAATTAATTTTTTTCATAAGTAAATCGTCAGTCAATTATGATTTTGATTAATATTTGGATTAAATGATTGATTAAAAATTTAAAAGTTTAAGATCTTATAAAAATTTATATAAAGTTTTTATGAAGTTTTATAAAGTTAACAATTTTTATAAAAAATCAATTCAAATACTGTTAGAGTGTGTAATGAATGCCTGAATAATGAGTTGTTTTGCCAAACGGTCGTCAAATTCACGGAATTCTTGTGTTAAGCAAATGTCTCTCATATTCTCTGCCATAAAGTGATGGCATTTGGTCTCCAATTCTTCGCACTTCAGATCCAGTGCTTTGGCGTAAAGTTGGCACACATTGAAGACATCAATGGTTTGTATCATAAACTGATGGGTCAATACATTTGCGAGTACTTCTTCGTCAAAAATCTTGGCCAGAGTTAGCAATTGGTCGACAATATCGGCGCTAATGTCTACACTATTAGTGTATAAGTACTGAATAAATGCCGAAAAAGCTTCATATGAATACTGTTGAACACGAATCTCATTGCCCTCAGCGTTCAGATCTCTCTCGCATTCGTCCCAAAACTTTTTGTTCTGTATTTTAAGTATAAGTTTGTGGCCATAAATGAGTTGATCATTACATCTGAAAACAACGTCGGAGTCCTCGGGATTATTGAACGCTTCGCAAAAGTTTTGCTCATAAATCAATTCGTCCTCTGAAGAAGTGATTGATGTGAGTGAGCCGACAGACAGAAGCGACGATTGTCTCATTAAATTGTTGTCTAATGCGCTGTCATTTGTAGACACGTCTAGTTTTAAGTCACCGTTTGATTCCTGATTGCCTGATATATCAAATTCCGGTGATGTTTCAAATCGAGGGATTTCATGTGGCGATTGTGTGTATAAATGGGTGAACACAACAATCCGAAAAATTGGGAAAATATTTCATTATTTTTGAATTTTTACAAAGAAATGGTATAAGAAATACATCACAACAGATGTCACTTCAAAGGGCACTTATTGTCCACTTCTTTAAATTAATTTATACTTATTAACTATTCATAACTATTCCTAAATTAATTTTGTTAACTATTTTGTATATTATAATAATCTTGTTTTCAATTACTTGTAATATTTCTTTGAATTGTTATTATTTAATGCATAGATATTGTAAGGAATGGAAACCAATCCAACCAAACATTTCTTACACAATTATTGACATCTCTTACTTTCCTTATTAACTTATTATAATATTATAGTAATTGTTATAATAATATTGAAGTTATACTTAATTTGGGTTATTATACAGTGCGATTTCTCTATAAGAAACCGCCATTTGAACGGCAAAAGGGTTTCTTATAGGGAGGGTTTTTCACAGGGAGTTTATATACACGTTAAACATCACATAATACGGTCACATATTAGAGTGGACGGCATGTTATCCCGAAGCAGTTCCCAAGCCGTCAGTCTCGAGCCCTGATTGTATGGACGCGTTTCTGTGCAATACTAGCATTGATTTCGTAAGAAATTAGTATTTGTTATAATCAGAGAATTGCATTTACTATAACTATGCACCTATTTTTAGTTGTTAATAGCATTACCCCCAGACTCGGGATGTGAACCGATCATGTATTGGTGGTCAGTTAACCGATAGTTTATTTTAACTATATTTAACTATTTGAGGCGTTTGTAACTTTTTTTAAAACTATTTCGTAAATTTGACTAAATTTTAAGGTAAAAATAAATATAAAATGTAAAGAAAGACTATTATAATGGCTATTTGGGGTCTTATAATCACCTATAATGCAATGCTTATAATTTAATTAAATCACTTTATAATATAACTATTTTATCATTTATAACATACGGCGTGTGATAAGGATTTAGTTGAATGCAATGATCGGATAACTCCAAGCGCTGTCCCATAACCGGCTAGAATTGGTTTGAGAATAATATTCTGTTATTTCTGTGCATAATTTGTATACTATTTGAGAGCATTCAAGCGGTCAAACCTGTGGCCAAACTCCCAGTATTACAATGAGTGAGAATATTGTTCACGTCTTTCTTCGTTAGAGATTTGATATATTGTGCGCCAAAATCTCCGATCGATTTGTTGACATTGATATCGATTTGAAGTAAATTAACGGAATATTATTAGAGATTTGATATATTGTGCGCCAAAATCTCCGATCGATTTGTTAACATTGATATCGATTTGAAGTAAATTAACGGAATATTCAGTCAATTGTTTGATCATTGAATCAAATGAAACGCTTGAATCAGCGGAATTAACCAGATCATATTCAATGGCCAACTCTGACAGATACCCTAACTGTGACCACATAAATATCGGTAGTCGACCCGATTTGCGGCCTGTGTTCGGTGGGGCGTGTATTTAGATCCCGTTGTTATGACAGCTCTAAACAATTCTTAGATAACTAATAGTGAATCCAAATTATAACTTCAAACATGTCTTTTGTAAAAATAGTTTTATTTAAGCAGTAAAGTCAAAAGTGCCAAAAAAGGCCAAAATTATGTTAGCATTTATGTACAATATTATAGTGAGTAATACTATTCAGATATCAAACACAATGATAGCACAAAACCTACGTCTACTTAAATCATGTCTTTTGACATTCCTGATTTAAAGTGTGTTAATTTTTGGTAAAATACATTGGGCTAAATTTCCAAAAAATAATTCCGACAGTGTTTAAAATTTCTAGAATAAAAACTATGAAACTTGGTTTCTGGTGCCTATGAATGTAGACTTTAGTAATAAAATTAATTTCGCAATTCTAACTACACTAGAAATATCGAAGGACTAACATATTTAATGTATACCAATATAATGTATTGTCTGCTGAAGTGATGAACAAATTTTTGATGACATAAAACAATATTGAAAACTAAATATAATATTTGTGACCATATTTTGTTGCACATGTATAGGGAGTGCGTTGTCGTGTCCTAATGAAGGGGAGAGTGTGACGGTTCCCCTGGTCTACGATAACCCGTGCATATCATGCAAATGCAATAACCGAGAGGTGGTCTGTCAGCGCGAAGTGTGCACTAATTTCAACGGCTGTTATCTCTTGTATTACGAGAAGAACAAAACCTGTTGTGATGTATGCAAAGGATGTCAATATAACGGACACTACTATAAAAGTGGTGAAACATTTGTTGACGACAATAATTTGTGCACAAGTTTTGTCTGCAATTCGGGTGTAATTACTGAATACAACACCTATTGTCACATACCATGTGATAATCCAATCGAAATCGCCGGCCAATGCTGTCCGTCGTGTGAAAAGTGTGATCCACTCAAAGAGGGACAGCCCGTCGCTAACCCATACAACACGACCGATACGTGCATTGGTTGCGAGTGTCTTAGAGGACACACTGTTTGCAGCAAACATGCCTGTCCGGTGTTGCCCTGTCCAGAATCAAAGTGGTTTACGCCACCCAATCAATGCTGTCCTATATGTAAGAGTCAGCGAAAAGTTATGGACTTTGAGGGCAATTGTATAATGAAGTTATCGACCCATAGAGACGGCCAGACCTATACATACGATCACTGCACTAATTGTGTTTGTAATGTAAGCCTAAGACAACTTAAAAACTTTTAACCTACATGAATTTATAATGTATTAATAATAATAAAATCTATTCATTAAAGGCCACAACAAATATTTGTCAGAGGAAAGTGTGTCCACCGCTCAGTTGTTCGCTGACCAATCAAATCACTGAACTCGGAGAGTGTTGTCCAAAATGTGTGGAAACACAAGAAACAGTGACCACCTGTTCCTATAAAGGCAAAGAATATAAGGTATGAAACACTTGTATGATATGCATTAGTATGACATGTAGTCTACAAATATTATTGATTGACAGTCGGGTGACAACTGGAAACATAACAACTGTCACAAGTGTTCGTGTCTTAACGGACAGATCAGGTGTAAGGCCGAGACGTGTGCCAAAGGACACATTTGTCCGAATCGATACAAACTAACCCGTCTTACAGGCGATTGTTGTCATACATGTGTCGAGGTATTGATAATATACTATTGATAAATAATGATGGTATTAATTAATATTTTTTATTTTTTATCTAATTATCAATTGTAACAAATGTTAATCTAAACGATGTAAAGGACGACACGATTTGCAAAATAACTAATAATTTAACAAATTATTACACATTTGATGGAAAAGAGTATTCATTTAATGGGAAATGCAATTATATTTTGGCGAGAGATTGCAAAAGCAAACTATTTTCCGTTCATATCGTTAATAAATATCACAATCAAAGCATTGCGTCTGAAATGAGAAATAATTCCTTCTTCAGCGGGACATCAGTTATGATCAAAATAGATGACATCAAAGTCCGTTTGGGACAAGCATTTAGAGTGACCGTCGGTCGCAAAAGAGTACGTTTGCCGCACATTAGGTTAGGAGTGCTTTCAATTGTGAGGGACTCTCATAAAGTGACCATAAGAGCAACCATTGGTATTAGATTTCTAACAACTTATTGACAAAAACATTATAACTAAAAGCAATGCTATTATAATGTGATTAAATTAGGATTGAAAGTGATTTGGGAGTCCGGAAAGTCGATTGAGATCATAGTTCCGCCAGAATTCAAGTCGAGAACATGTGGTCTCTGCGGAAACTATAATAATAATCCAAACGACGATTTCATCACTAAAAGAGGCAAAATATATACAGAAGTCGAGAAGTTTACCCATTCTTGGAAAGTATGTGTGATTTGTATTCAATATTTTTAGAAACTTTATGTGAAATATATTGAAAAATACATTTTCTTCGTAAATGATTTGAATAATAGGTGGGAAAGAATGTGATTTGTGAGAGCGCTATGAAGTCGACCAAAGCATTGAAAGAACAAATGAGATGCTCTTTCACGGATTGGGAACAGAGACACAATGCCATCAATGTATGCAATATTCTCAAGTCAGCCCTTTTCAGACAATGCCATAACTCCATCAGTATTACCACCTTTTTTGGGTAAATGTTTGCATTAATTATACATCAAATTGTTGTGACTCACAATGAATTTGCATTTATAGGAAGTGTTTGTCAGACGTGTGTTCGTGCCATAAGAACAAGATCTGTCACTGCAATGCCATTCAGTCCTATGCAACACAATGTCAAAAGTTAGGCCATAAGAGCCAACACTGGAAAAAGTCCACTCTATGCGAAGGTTAGCCCATTTATTAAGCGCTTAACCATTAACTCATTGATAATGTAAATGTAATTGAATGACAGCAATGAACTGTCCGTCGGGATCGACATTCTCGACGTGTACGTCCGCCTGTAGGCGCACATGCAATCACAGCCATCACAATGAGACCAATTGCCGCCAACGCAAGTGCCGTCCGGGCTGTATGTGCCCAATAGGTCAGGTTTGGCACAACGGTGTCTGCATTTACAAGCAGTTGTGTCCCAAACATCACAACACAACGCGTCAATCAATCGACACTTTTCATGAAAATACACTCAAAGATGAAGCGATTGGTGGAAATTAATTGCAAAACTCATATCAAAATTAATTTATTTATATTAAAAGCCAATAATTTGTATATTTTTGTAAAAAAAAGATAAATTATTATATTTGCGCTGCACTTCAATTACACTAGTCTTTGATTTTATGTACAAATGATTTTAATTCATATCACTTCTCATGACATATGCACTCATCCATCCATCAGACACACCGACCGGCTCTCTGGACATCACACGCTTTATAGCATTCATATATCATATTATATACATTTGCAATCTCTCGCCAAAATATAATTGCATTTCCCATTAAATGAATACTCTTTTCCATCAAATGTGTAATAATTTGTTAAATTATTAGTTATTTTGCAAATCGTGTCGTCCTTTACATCGTTTAGATTAACATTTGTTACAATTGATAATTAGATAAAAAATATTTATTAATACCATCATTATTTATCAATAGTATATTATCAATACCTCGACACATGTATGACAACAATCGCCTGTAAGACGGGTTAGTTTGTATCGATTCGGACAAATGAGTCCTTTGGCACACGTCTCGGCCTTACACCTGATCTGTCCGTTAAGACACGAACACTTGTGACAGTTGTTATGTTTCCAGTTGTCACCCGACTGTCAATCAAAAATATTTGTAGACTACATGTCGCATATCATACAAGTGTTTCATACCTTATATTCTTTGCCTTTATAGGAACAGGTGGTGACTGTTTCTTGTGTTTCCACACATTTTGGACAACACTCTCCGAGTTCAGTGATTTGATTGGTCAGCGAACAAGTGAGCGGTGGACATACCTTCCTCTGACAAATATTTGTTGTGGCCTTTAATGCATAGATTTTATTATTATTAATACATTATAAATAGGTTAAAAGTTTTTAAGTTGTCTTAGGCTTACATTACAAACACAATTAGTGCAGTGATCGTATGTATAGGTCTGGCCGTCTCTATGGGTCGATAACTTCATTATACAATTGCCCTCAAAGTCCAT